CTTTTGAAAAAATTGATCTGCAACCATTGGTGGGGGGTGCAGTGAGGGACCGTCTGGGCCAGGTCCCACCGCACCATAAGGTTAAGGATTAGAATGCCTGGTTCTCGGGGCTCAATTCCAAGCTAGCTATGGAGGCAAAAAGGACCATGTTTTCTAAGGCTCCGAGTGGGGATCCGATAGATAGTCTGTATTTTTCAAGGTACTTAAAGGAACGAACAGGTGAGCAGGAAGCAAGAAAGGAAGCTAAAAGGAAGAAAGACGGAATAAAACAGGAGAGAAAGGGGGGAGAGAACGGAGGCTGGAAAAGGAAAAAGAACAAACGGACAAGAACTGGAGAGGAAAAGAGGAATTCACTCTGAGGTTCCTGCTGAAGCACCTTCTTGGGGTTCTTTCCCTCGACCCATTTGCAGAGGTCGGGGTGGGGGTGTCTGCAGAATGGTTCCGTTCTGCCTTGTAGAAAGCGTTTCTGGGATTGTAACGGAATCGCTGTCCACCGCCTCTGTCCAGAGCCCTTTGCTCGCCTTCCAAAAGCTCTCCGCCGGCACAGCGGTGGTGGCTTTAAAGACAATCGCCCTTTGCTGACTCCTTGTTACTTATCAGGTTTGATAACTTCCACCTTCTACTGCCCCAGTCTCTCCTCATTCCCTTCTCTCATTTATTTTGCCGCTCCAGGGGCAGAGATCTCACTCTGGGCTCCCCTTCAGGCCCGGGTATCCTTCCTTCCGCACCCCGAAAGGGGGTAGGCCAGGCCAAGTGGGGAGGGGGTGGGAAGGAAAGAGATGAATATTGGCTTCCTGATGCAACCCAGAAGCTCTGTGCCTTCAGGGAGCCCGTCCTCAAGGTTTGCTTAACTTTGTTCTTCTTGTTTATGTTTTCCTTTTGTAAATCAGAGAACTATTTTTTAATCGCATTATTAAGAAAAAGAGGTATAAAAACAAACTACCAACCCTGCGCCTTCCAAATCTCTTCACGCTTGCATTTCACATGTCTCTTTGCAGAAGAACATTCTGCTTAAGTCTTCCAAAGGTTCAGGTGAACATTTCTGGTCTCGCTACGATTCAAGCTTCTTAAAAGTTAGAGACAACACACTCAAACACAAAGCACACCTTTGCAAAGGAGGCTCACCGTGAGCCCTGTGTGAGTGTGTGCGTTTGATTGAATGTAATTTCATAAAATGGAGACCCCAGCCAGGAACAGAATGGCACTTGGGAGCCGCTGAAAACACACAGACAAACAACTCCTAGCACGACAAACAGTACGGCCGGACAGAGGTGTTCAGACCGCATTTAAGTTTCCAAATGTGTTTGACAAAATGGCCAGAAAATATTAGATCTGGTCACTGTGATCAGGTGGGGGGTTTTGTTCTACCATGACAGAGGTGCAACTTAACACACACACACACACACACGTCTCTATCTAACCCTCCACACTGCGACATCCTCCTTAAAAATACCAAAATCCAGACTTCCAAATGCCCTCCCCCATACACACATGAATAGGAGCTTTTGTGTTTAAAAATCCTGGTAATGGTCTTCTTTCTTTAAATCTCCATAGAAAATAGTGGGGCTGGTGACCCCCCCTGGTCTCTCATGATAGACAGTAAGGACTTTTAGTCAGTGAGTGGTTACAGTGATTCATCATTTTCAACATAGAGGTTTTAAAATGTGTATATATGTATTAATCACCCTGAATTACTCTCTCTCTCTTTTTAAATGCACATTTAGAATCTGTAGACTCTGTGTGACCCAGGAGTGCTTATATAAGTAAATGTGGGTGTTTGGGTGTAAATACATGTTTATCATTTTTATAATATATGTGTGTGTGTGTGTGTGTGTGTTGCATCTAACTCCTGTGTGTGTAATAATCTTCCCCTCTCTGCTGAGGTTTACTTCTCCAGCCTATTGTTTGAGACAACAGATATAAGTTGCGATGGGAGAGGAGCGTCGGATTTGGTGTGTATCCCCCATTTCCAATTATAGATGGATCATTACAGACAGCGGAGTCCTGAGAAGCCAGACATCTGCTCCTCACATGAATGCACTCACCTTCTAGAGACCAGGCTGCCATCATGCTCTGGAAGCTCGTGGAGAATGTCAAGTACGAAGATATCTATGAGGTGAGCCGGCACCCCTGATGGATCTTAGGGCTTTGTAGAGAGAGAATTGGAGCTTCTTGACACCTCCACTGATGTGTATTTTTAAGCTTTTTCCTCGCAGTTTTCCGATCGGTTTTCTCAGCTCTCTCTAACTTTAAGGACAGGGGCCATGGGCAGACTTCGCTATTCAAGGGGGTGGAAAAGGAGAGTTTAAGGTCGGAATCTGGCAGCTTTAACTTAGGAGATTCCTTTTTTTAAATTTCGTCTTCTTCTATATTTCTTCCTCGCTGGGGACTTTCCCCTCTTTGAGGCTCTGGTTTAGGGAACGAGGGCAGGCTGGTAGAGAAGAGGCTCTGGTCGAAAGCAGTGAAGCTCTCCGGGTTGAGTCCAGCAGGGAACTGGGTTATCACGCCTCACCCTGAAGAGTCTCCGGGCTTTTGATTTTTATTTTCAGAACAATTTCCGAAATCAACCCCAAACAGACCACAGGACAGGGCAGAATATTAGAGGACGCGAGTGAGCTGGATACAGTGGGTGGACCGATGGGTAGATACCGAGAGTTAAACCGATGGGTGCAGAGGGAACATAAGCGAAGACACCGTAGGAAATGGTTTATTATTTTCTGTTTTCTTCGGTTTTGCTTTTGGGGGTTGTTGTTTTGAGGGGTAGTGCGTCCAGAGATTGCCCTCACCCCGTGGCTGGGCATTTTAAGCGAATTGTCCTGCCAACGATCGGGGCTCACAGTTCTCTGGGGCAGGCGCTGGCGCCCCTCTTGCTCCGGCGGGAGAAGTTGTACCCAGCGCGGGGGGCGCCGGCCGCCTCGGCCCAGCCGGGACTCAGTGGGTGCCCACTGCCTGCCCGGCGGGACCGACGCGGCGGCCGGGAGGCTCCGGGACGAGGCCGGAGAAGGCGCAGGACCCGGCGGAAGGCAGGCTGCCTCCGAGGACCCTGTTCCGGAGCTCAGGGGCCCGAGGGACTCGGAATTGGGTGCTCGGGGACCCAGGGAAGCCCAGGCTCGGAGGCGACGCGGAGGGAGGGCAAAGGGAAGCGGCGCCGGGAGAGAAGAGGAGGAGGCGGTGGGCGCTGCGCGCGGGTAGCGGCGGGAGAAGGAGACGGTACCGAGGGGAAGTTGGCCAGCGAGGGTAAGAAACGTCCCGGAGCTCGGGGCGCGGGGTTGGGACTGCAGAAACTCCCCAAATTGGCCGGGGAGGAAACACGATCCCGGGTCTCCAGGGCCACTGGGGAAGCCAGCTTGCAATGACAGGGCTCGGGTCTCCCCCGCACCAACGCGACTGGCGGGGGGCCCTGAGGGACAGGGACAGGACAGACTGGGACCCCCCCCC